CCCCGTCGCCCCTCTCCATGAAGCAGTTCCTGGACTTCGGTGAGTGCCTGGCCCCAAGGGCCCCGGCTCCATCCGGGCTGCAGCCTGAACAGCCGCCCCGCCCCCGGTCTGTGACCCCGCGCGCTGTGTGGCTGCCAACACCGCCTCAGCTCAACGCCCCCTTCGGCCCCGGTTTACCTGGAGCTTTCAGGCAACAGGCTCCTCTTCCCCCCTGCAGGGTCCGCACGTCGCCCCCTCCTTCCGTTCCTGGTGCTGCAGACATGGGGAAAGCATCCGGGCCCTGTGCTGAGGAGAGGGTAGCTGGGCGTCTGGGTCCTCAGTCCCTATGTCTCAGCAGGAGCCTTGCCAGCTCAACGCCCCCTTCGGCCCCGGTTTACCTGGAGCTTTCAGGCAACAGGCTCCTCTTCCCCCCTGCAGGGTCCGCACGTCGCCCCCTCCTTCCGTTCCTGGTGCTGCAGACATGGGGAAAGCATCCGGGCCCTGTGCTGAGGAGAGGGTAGCTGGGCGTCTGGGTCCTCAGTCCCTATGTCTCAGCAGGAGCCTTGCTCAAGAGTGCTCTGGCCTTCTCCCCATGGAGCCTAGTTGGCTGCTCTCCCCCTAGGAAGGGGGCTGGTGGGGCAGGCAGCCAATCAGACGGGGGTTTCCAGCTTTCTGGCCCCAAGCTCTAAAAAGGGGTTACAGCTGCAGCCAAAATGGAAACACTAGTGAACAAATGGTGACAGCTGGCCACAAAGCAGAATATCCCGCTGAGCTTTTAAAGTTCTAATTGCAGTCTGCCACTAGAGAACAAAGTGCCACACACAAAACAATCTTAGAGGCAGACATTAGAAAGCTTATCACGTGAGCCTGGGTATGGAAGTCACAATCCAATGCATCCAGCTTCTGGAAGTTCATCTCTTTGATAAATTCTATGCAGACATACCTGGGAACTCTAAGGCTACGTCTACACTGGCCCCTTTTCCGGAAGGGGCATGTAAATTTCACAAGTCGTCGTAGGGAAATCCGCGGGGGATTTAAATATCCCCCGCGGCATTTAAATAAAAATGTCCGCCGCTTTTTTCCGGCTTTTAAAAAAGCCGGAAAAGAGCGTCTAGACTGGCCCCGATCCTCCGGAAAAAGTGCCCTTTTCCGGAGGGTCTTATTCCTACTTCAAAGTATTAAAATTCAGATTTAAATAAAAACCTGATTTAAAAAAAAATCTGATGTTTTTGATTTTTTTTAAATCATCAATTTTTATCCACACTGGTTTCAAGACTGCCTAAATCCCATTTTCAAACTATCCTTAGTCATTTAGATGCCTAAGTCTCACTGAAAGTAGGAATAAGAGCCTCCGGAAAAGGGCGCTTTTTCCGGAGGATCGGGGCCAGTGTAGACGCTCTTTTCCGGCTTTTTTAAAAGCCGGAAAAAAGCGGCGGACATTTTTATTTAAATGCCGCGGGGGATATTTAAATCCCCCGCGGATTTCCCTACGACGACTCGTGAAATTTACATGCCCCTTCCGGAAAAGGGGCCAGTGTAGACGTAGCCTTAAGTGAAACACAGGCCTCTACTATTTCAGTTAAGGAATCTCTCAGCTATTGAAAGTGATGGAGTCCCTTGTCCAGTCAACATTTTTTACATCATTATTCATTTTACAATATGCTATGTAAAGACAAGTGTATAATATAATTTACAATAGTTTTTTTATATATTAATGAAACAACTGCAGAATTACACAGTAATTCTATTTACACTATGTTTGAACAAGGATAGCAGTACTGTTCACAATTACAGTAGTTTATTTTTAAAAGTGTTTCCCATACAGTGGAAATTTACTTTAAATATTTTCCTAGAGCAAATCAGTAACTTCTGGCCATCAGTGTTAGATATAAGGTCATAGATAACCTGAAAAAATGGTCAAAATATACCAACTTTTTGTCAGGTTCTCAAAAGCTAGAAAACAAGTGGCTGAGGCTAAAAATTGTAGTAGTAGATGATACAGGTTTGTGTTCAGGTGTCAGAATCGGACAAAAATACACAATCATTTTCTGTGCATTACAATAGAATGGCATTTTCAGTCTGGATTTTCTTTTTAAAAGCTGGACCATTCACACTGACACAACTTGAATATTTCATACTACATCTACATTAAAAGAACATACAGGTAACAAAATCATATGATGTCATACAGGATGCATTGATTTAAGTAAAAGCAATTTAAATCACTGATTTAAATGAGTAAATAGGAAGCTTTGATTGTGCTTGCACTTTTAAGTTATTGTCCTAAAGAGCTGCTGATTCACGTCTTAGTAGCTATTAAAACGATCAGCAAGTAAACAAAGCCTTTGTATTAAATTTGGTGCTTCTTTTTTCTAATCATGTAGATATATTGTATCTACACACACATTTAAGCATTTGGACAGCTTAAAATATGTAGTATCTAAATAAATGTTATTAGATTTATTTAATTTTTTACTTGTCATCCAAATTGAACTTGACATAAATCACAATTCAAATGCAATTAAAATGCACAAAACTAACATTTTAAATGGATTATTACATAAGAATGGCCATCCTAGGTCAGACCAAACATCTAGGTAGCCCAGTATCCTGGCTTCCAACAGTGGCCAATGCCAGATGCCCCAGAGGGAGAGAACAGAGCAGGTAATCATCAAGTGATCCCTCTCCTGTCATCCATTTCCAGCCTCTGACAAATATGCAAGAGACACCATTCGTACCAATCCTGGCTAATAAACATCGATGGACCTAGCCTCCATGAATTTAACAGGTTCAAAAAAGAACTAGATAAAGTCCTGGTTTTCACAATATCCTCTGGCATGGAGTTGCACAGGTTGACTGTGCACTGTGTAAAGAAAAACTTCCTTTTGTTTGTTTTAAATCTGCTACCTATTGTTTTAAACTTGCTACCTCTTAATTTCATTTGTTGACCCCTAGTTCTTTTATTATGGGAACAAGTATATAATTTTTTCTAATTCACTTTTTCCAAACCAGCCATGATTTTATAGACCACCTAGTCTCCTCTTTTCTAAGATGAAAAGTCAGTCTTTTTCATCTTTTTTCATATGGGACCCATTCCAAACCCTTAATAATGTTTGTTGCCCTTATCTGAACCTTTTCTAATGCCAATATATTTTTTTGAGATGAGGCAACCACATCTGTATGCAGTATTCAAGACGTGTGCGTACGTGGTTTTATATAGAGGCAAAAAGATATTCTCTGTCTTACACTCTATCCCTTTTTAAAAGATTCCTAATATTCTGCTTGCTTTTTTGACTGCTGCTGCACATTGAGTGGATGTTTTCAGAGAACTATCCACAATGACTCCAAGATCTCTCTGTTGAGTAGTCATAGCTAAATTGGTTCCCATCATTTTGTATGTATAGTTGGGATTATTTTTTCCAATGTGTATTACTTTACATTTATCAATATTAAATTTTATTTCCCATTTTGTTGCCCAATCACTTGGGGCACCTCTATACAGCAGGGTTAAGGCTGAAATAAGCTACGCAACTTGAGGTATGTCAGTTGCATAGCTCAAGTCAAAATAGCTTATTTTGGCTTTTGGCGCTGTCTACACAGCAGGAAGTCCGAGTTAGAGCACTCTTCCTCTGTCTTCCCTTATTCCTTGTAAAATTAGGGTTACAGGAGTCCGAGTAAGAAGTCCTCCAGCTCGTCATTATTTAGAAATAAACGGTTGTAGTGTAGACATGCACTATCACACTGCTGTGTAGACATAGCTTTAGTTTTCTGAGATCTTTTTGAAGCTCTTCACAGTTTAATTTGGTCTTAACTATCTTGAGCTGTTTAGTATCATGTGCAAATTTTTGCCATTTCACTGTTTACCCCTTTCTCCAGATCATTTATAAATAGATTGAATAGGATTTGTCCCAGTATGGACTCTTGTGGGACACCACTGAACTAAAACTACCTTAAGTATGCAATCATGGTAGGGCTAAGTATTATCTAGATCTGGGGTGTCCAAACAGTTCTGAAGTGAACTAGCTACTAGTTCTATAGTAAATTAGTTACACGGAACCCACCAAATAGTCACATTGTTCAAGCCAACTAGCCATACTCAACCAGCCAAATAGCCACGTGGCTAGTGTGTTGGACACCATGGATCTAGATCATCCCTGACAGGCATTTGGAGATTTTTAAGAGCAAGTTAAACAATGATGGAGATTCCACAGTCTTCCTAGACAATTTATTCCTGTGCTTAAGTGCCATGACAATTAGGAAGGTTTTCCTAATGTGCAAACTAAACCTCTTTTGCTACAATTTAAGACTATTGCTTCTTGTTGCGGAAGAAAACACAGTCTTCACGTTGTGTTTGTCTCAGATTTGCCAGAGACCCCTTTATTAAAGAAAGTAAGCAGCTGCTGGGAGAGTCATCACTAACTGACACAGACAAATTGCACAGTTAAGAGAGCTCCTCCCTCTCCTCCCCCCCCCCCTCCCGCAGGAAAGGTATACAGCATAGGTTTCTCAGTCCCAAATAAGGAGACAACTACCAAATTAGGAAAAAGCAAGGTCACTAAAACAAAAAACATATCTAACTGTAGTTAACCTGATTGTTCCAGTTTTCTCACAACAAAGAACACTAAGCATTTTCCTATCTTTACTCAACAGCATTTTCCTTATCTTTTCTCATCCCTTTCTCGGGCCTCCAAGCAGGCATGCACATTTAGCCAGAGTTTTAGGCCTAATTTAGGGCCTCGCTTATTCAGATTCTACATTGTCCTATCCTCAGAGATTAAGTGCAGTTTTTCTCCCGCCTCTTTGTAACAACTTTTTATGAACTTGAAAATGGTTATGTCCCCTCTGTCTTCTCTTTTTAAGACTAAACAAATGCAATTTTTCCATCTCACCTCACAGGTCATGTTTTCTAGACCTTTAATCATTTTTGTTGCTTTTCTCTGGACCTTCTCCAGTTTGTCCACATCTTTCCTGAAATGTGGTGCCCAGAACTGGAATCAGTACTCCAGTAGAGGCCTAATCAGCGCAGAGTGAAGAAGAACAATTACTTCTTGTGTCTTGCTTACGACACTTCTGCTAATCCATCCCAGAATATCTGCTTTTTTTGCGACAGTGTTACAATATTGGCTCATGTTTGGTTTGTGGTCCACTATGACCCCCAGAAACCTTTCCGCAGTACTCCTCCTTATGCAGTCATTTCACATTTTGTATGTGGGAAACTGATTGTTCCTTCCTGAGTGAAGTACTTTACATTGTTCTTATTTAACATTATCCTATTTACTTCAGACCACTTCTGCAATTTTTCCAGGACATTAATTTCATTCCTGCCTTCCTCAGCACTTGGAATTCTTCCAGCTTGGTATTGTCTGCAAACTGTATAAGTTTAATCTTTACATTATCTAAATCATTGAGGAAGATATTGAACAGAAATGGATTCCTGCAGAACCCCACATGTTATGCCCTTCCAGCATGACTACGAACCATTGATAACTACTCTCTGGGAGCAGTTTTCCAACCAGTTTTGAATTAACCTTCTAGTAGTTCCATCTAGGTTGCATTTCCCCAGTTTGTTTATGAGAAAGTCATGCAATACATTATTAGAAGTTTTACTAAAATCAAGATATACTACATCTACCACTTCCCCTTGTCCACCAAGCTTATGAAAGAAAGCTATCAGGTTGGTTTGACATGATTCGTTTTTGATAAATCCATACTGATTGTTACTTATTATGTTATCTTCTTGATGTTTGCAAATTGATTACTTAATTATTTGCTTCGTTATCTTTTGGGGTACAAAAGTTAAGCTGACTGGTCTGTAATTCCCTGGGTTGTCCTTATTAGGTATGTTAAATAGTGTGTAATTGAATAGTTGTGTAATCACATACATTTTAGCGGTTACACTTATGTAACAATAGTTACAATAGTCCCTGGGGGCGGGGCTGGCAACAAGTGCACTCTGTTCCCATTCCTACGCTGTTGCTTCTCTGTCAGGCATCAGCATAGGGTGGTAGGCTGGAGTTAGTCCGCTAGGAGATAGGGATGTTAATTTTAGATTAATGCGCTAATTGAATAGTCAGTGCAATTTGCATCGACTATTCGATTAGTTGTTAAGAGCACCTTCGCCTTTGAAGTGTAGCAACAGCCCTAGGGCTGCTGCCAAACTTCAAAAGCGAAAGTGCTACAGGAGCACTCAAGCAGTCCCCCGTGTTCCCTGAGGTGTTCAAAGTGGTAGAGCTGCATGGTGAGCCGGGGAGTCCCCAGCTGACCCCGGGCTCCATGCAGCGCTGCCACTTTGAAATTCTGTGTGCAGCACGGGGCCAGCTGGGGACCCAGGCTGCACATGGTGTTTCAAAATGGCAGACTCTGGGCTCCATGCGGCACTGCTGCTTTGAAGCACCCTCTGTTCTTCCCCCTCCTTCTGATAGAGGCAGCGAGGTGCGGGGGAAGCAACTAGTTGATTAGTGTGTCGACTATCCAATAAGCATTTCCTTATCGGATAGTCAACTAGTAGTTCACATCCCTACTGGAGGAGCCGATTTAAAAACCTGCTGCAGCCTGGCTCCATCCAGCCGTTCTGCACTGCTGCCTCTGGTACAAAGGCAGCAACGTAGGGTGGGTGTGAGCTCCCTGAGGACAGAGGCTGGTCCATGGGATGCGGAGCAGTTTCTGTGCACCATGGGCTCAGACCCCCTGTGGACAGGGGCTTCTGCCACAGAGCAGCCACTGTCTGCAGCAGACCCAGGCTCACCATGGACACAGGATGCTCTCTCCCTTCCTGGCTATTAAGCCGGCTCCTGCCTGCCTCTATAAGAGGCAGCAAGGGGGGGAGGCGGGTCCTCAGAGCTGGCACATGCAAAGAGCTTGCTTGAAAGCCCGCTCTTCATGCATCTCGGTTTCCGTCTGCCCACCTTAACCTCCATGCTGTTGCCTCTTTATCAGAGGCAGCAGCACAGGAGTGGGCTGGGGAGAGGAGGCGGATCCAGTGCTCGTAGGGAGCTGGTTTAAAAGCTGGCTCTCTGTGGGCACCTTCTCCCCCCCCCTCTCTCCTTGCTGCCTCTGATACAGAGGAAGCAAAGGTGTGGCGGAATGCATATAGTTGATAGGATTAACCAATAAGCCTGGGCTTATTGGTTAATCATGTAGTTGTCTTTACATTGGCATCCCTAGTTCTTATTTCCCTTTTTATAGATTGGTATTATATTTGCCCTTTTCCAGTATTCTGGAATCTACCCCTCAACCATGTTCTATGACTTTTCAGAGATAATTGCTAATGGCTAAGATATCTCTTCAGTCAGTTTCTTGAGTATTCCAGGATGCATTTAATCAAGATCTAGTGACTTGAAGACATCTTATTTGTCTAATTAAATTGTTCTTTTCCTGGTTTAGCTTCTGATCCTACCGTATTTTCACAGGCACTCACTAGTGTTCTAGTTACCACCAATCTTCTTGTTGAAAACCAAAACAAAAAAGTCCTTAAGCACCATTGTCATTTCCGCATTTTCTATTGCTATTCCTCCTCCCCTCTTGAGTAATGGTACGATCCTATCCGTGTTTTTTGTAGAATGTTTCTTGTTACCCTTTATGTCTCTGGCTAGTTTGATCTTGGACCTTGGCCTTTTAATTTTGTCCCTGTATACTTGTGTTACTTTTTATATTCATCTTTTATAATTTGACTTAGTTTCCACTTTTTGTAGGACTCTTTTTTTTTTTTTCAAGATCATTAGTGATATCTTGTGTAAGCCAGGGTGGTCTCTTGCTGTACTTTATTTTTCCTGTGCAGTGGGATAGTTTGCTCTTCTACCTGACATGTCTCTCTTTAAAATTGCCAACTCTCTTGAATTGTTTTTCCCCTTAGGCTTGCTTTCATGGGATCTTACCTGCCAACTCGCTGAGTTTGCTAAAGTCTGCCTTCTTGAAATCCATTGTCTTTATTTTGTTGTTCTCCAACCTACCATTTCTTAGAATCATGAACTCTGTCACTCAAACTGCCTTCCACTTTCAAATTCTCAACCAGTTCCTTCCTATTTGTCAAACTCCAGTCTAGAACAGCCTCTTTCCTAGTAGCTTTCTCTATCTTCTAAAATACAAAATTATCCCCAATACATTCTAAGAACTTGTTGGATAATCTGTGCCCTGCTGTATTACTTTTCCAACAGATGTCTTGGGAGTTGAAGACCCCCATCACTACCAAATCCTGTGTCTTGGACGATTTTGTTTGTTTTAATCTAGTCTATTCTCCCATGCTGAGGTAAAACAAACATTTTTTTGGATGAATGATAAAAATCTGTATTGGGGCTGTGAAGGCACAGGATTCTTCAGATCCTGTTGATGCACACTGCTTTATGGTTGTGTGTGATATCCCTCGTCCTCCCTCCCAATGCCATAATATTATTTGTAAGCAACTGAATTATTTAATTCACAGTGAAAAATCTTTTCTAAAACATAATTGCACCTCAGTGACAAGGGAACTAGCACTTCTTGACTTTTGCTTTGAAGTGAAATAATGCAGTTTTACAAAGGGTCACTTTCTAGTTTATACCTATGTTCCAACATAGTCTAATTTAACGTCAGGGCCAGACCAGAAAATTTGCAGGAAAATACTGACCTATAGCTGTAAAAAGATGTTCCACAAATGTTAATATCATGCTGATTTTTTCCAAATATATTTTGGTTTTAGGATCTGAAAATGCTTGTGAAAAGACTTCATTTATGTTTTTGAGACAAGAGTTGCCTGTAAGATTGGCAAACATAATGAAAGAAATAAGTCTGCTTCCGGACAACCTTTTAAAAACACCATCAGTTCAGCTGGTGCAAAGCTGGTAAGAACTGTCTTGTATTAATTTATTTTACTTTTAAAGGTTATTGCAAGTGCACTATGCACCTGCGTAAGAAACTCTTCACATACTTGTCTATTATATGGTGGTGTTAAAACAGTATCTTCTGAGTGTGATTGTTACTATCTAAAATTCTATTTTGAAAATATCCTGATCTATATTAATAGATTGAGAGAGTGTTGAGTATTTTACTTCTGGCCGATCATCATGTTTTTACGCCTTGCTTTTCTTTCAAGAAAAAAACAGACTAGTCTGTTTCACTTCATTCCATAGTTCATATTATGTCAATTTCATTCATCCTTCTAATTAATCAACGCACTTTTACGATATTTAGGTTGAAGACACTGCGAAGGCATTTGTTTGTTTTTTAATTTTAAGGCCCAAAGAGAGACCATCATAATTTAATCTGACCTCGATAACACACACAATCTCAACCATTAGTTTCAGCATCAAGCCCATAACTTTTATTATGACGTGTTTTAGAAAGATATCTACCTTGATTTAAAGATTTTGAGAGATGGATAATTAATCGTATCCATAGATAAGTTATTCCAATGGTTAATTGCCCTGACTGTTAAATTTTTACCTTAGCTCTAATCTGAATTTGTCTAGATTCAGCTTTCAGCCACTGGCTATTCTGTCTTTCTGCTAGATTAAAAAGCTATCAAACATTAGGTACTTTTCAGCTGATCAAGTCACCTTTTAACCTTCTTTTTGAAAATAAGTAGATTAAGCTTCTAAAGTCTGACTAGAAGCGTGTTTTCAAGATCTTAAGTCATTCTTTTAGCTCTTTTCTAAACCTTTTCCAATTTTTCAGCGTCCTTTTTGAAGTGTTGACACCTGAAGTGATGCGGTAGTAGTCTCACTAATGTTGCATAGAGAGATATCATCTCCTCCCCCCGCTTGATGTTCCTCCATTTGAATATTCGGAGATTGTATCATCCCCCTTAGTATCACACACAAAGGCTTGTCTAGGCTCCCCTATGCCAAATGTCCCTTGAATCTTTACATGTATGCTATCTTGAGTCTGTTATATACAATATGTTTATCCCTTAGTTTAGATTAAGCACCCTGAACTGCTCTAGATAGTCTGTCCCGCCCCCACCCAGAAGATTGGTTCTCCTTCTTCTCAGATGATGGCAGACCAAGGCCCACATTTTCCTTTCTCCATTGACGGTGATCCAGTGTTCCGCAAAAGAACAGGTTAGACAAACAGGGATGGTCTAGATCAGGGGTCTCAAACTCCCAGTCTGTGGGCCAGAGTGATTGCACAGTCCGAGCTGGGATTCCTGGGGGGTGGGAGAGCTGTCCGCTACTGGTCCCCAAGCTCCACCTCTTATCACTGTGCTCTTCCCCCGAGCATGCAGTTTGGGGAATCATGGGGGGAGGGGTTTGGCACATGCAGTGGAAGCAGGTGCCCTCACCCGTGAGGACAGAGGAAGTGCTGTAGCCAAAATATAGTACAGTAAACTTCCGATAATCTGGCACCTTTAGGACCCAGGGGTCAGTTTCAGCAGCGGCTGAATCGGGGACGCCTGGGGCAGAGTAGCTAGGGTGCTGCCGGGTTGGTCCCGCAGTGCTGAGGGGCGGGCGCTACGGGACCAACGCTGCAGCACCCCAGCTGCTCTGTCCCCGGCGCTCCCGATTCAGCCGCTTGAGTCCGCCAC